TTTTTATTGTCAGAATTATTGTCAGAATTCAGTCAGAATTCTGAGATTAAAGTCAGAATTCTGAGATTAAAGTCAGAATTCTGAGATTAAAGTCAGAATTCTGACTTTTTTCCCATGTTAAACTGAAATAAAATTTAAAAATCACTTTACTTTTTTTTTTTTTCAGTGGCCCTAATCCTCTTCCGTAGTTTCGTCACGAGGCAACGTTTACGCTCACCTACACAGTATTCACACCTCTTCTCTTGTTATTGCCACTGACTCATTCTTTTTATTGGCATTTTTTATAATATAGACCGAAAACACAGGAGTGAATAAATCTTGCTTTTATATGAAGCCTATTTTCAACACTACTTTTATAGAAACTATACCTGCAGGTATTTTGTGTAAATTTGTTTTTTAAAACATCTCAAGCTCAGTCAGATCTGTGATCATCAGTTGTGAAGAACAAATTGTTTCCAACTGATCTAAAATAATGGCTTCAATGTTTAAAGTTTCTACCCTGATTCAAAGGTGGACCTTTTTTGATTATCTGCAGCTTCTAACAGGTTTCCCTAAAAATTTTACTTCTTCCATCCATCTTTGTATTAAAAGAGAGTTCTTTCCATGTACTTAAAGCATCTTTTGTGGGGATAACATGTTCAGATACTTGCTTTCTACCTCACAACATGCCTGTGTGTGCAGGAATAAAATGTCAGATTTTGGTCTCATTTGACCAGAGCAGAGTCTTCCACACATTTGCTGTTATTTGACATGTCTAAAAAGCTGCTGCACGGCTTCCGCCTCACATCTGATGTGTATAATTGTGAATTACATTACCAATAGATGCACTGAAAGTAGATCCTCCTACCTGAGATGTGGATCTCTGCATCGCCAGCTAACGTCGACTTCTTGGCAGCTTTTTTAATTGATGCTGTCCTTGATTGGCCCGTCAGTTATGATGGATTGGTTCTTAGTTGTGGCTGTAATCTTTTTATGAGATGTTTAAATCTTGGGATGCAGTTTTAAGTGACACTGAATGATCACGCCGCTTGCTTGAACTCTCATTTACTCGTGCACGGAACATTGATGGTGTCAGCCTCTTTTACCGACCTGAGTTTTTCTCTCTCTTGTAATTTAGTTAACAATAGACCCAGACTGAGTTGAAAGCATTGCTGTGTGACAGTCCGGTGACAAGCGTGGATTGCAAAGGCTGAAGAGAAATGTTGGAGGTCATGCTTGTTTTGCATATTGGCAGTGTGGTAAACACTGTGCCGCTGTTGTCAAGTAGGGGAGATCCTTTTGGAATCGCTTCAGAGGAGCTTTTAAGCCTCTTTGGTTTGAGATGCATTTCTCAAAGGCAGGCGTGTTTTAGGAACTGAGGCCTATTGGGGTAAAAAAACAACATAAAATCAATTTTTCCACCCACAATCCAGACGTTTGGAGGAGTTTGTCAAAAACAAACCAAATTCCAGGATATTTTCATTTTAAATATGCCAAAGCACTAGCTATTTGATGTGGTAAACACTTTAAATGACCCTTCTAAAGGCTCTTGTTGTGTTTATGTTTAGACGTGTCATCTTGTGCTTGCAGCTCTTCTTAATTTCATGTTTTTATATGGCGTAGAATGGGGATGATTAATAAAAGGTGTGTGGAAAAAAAACTAGGATTTGTTTGGATAAAATAAAATTCTGAGATGGTTTGCTGGTGAAGAATGTTTAACCTTAAAAACTGCAGATGTATTGGACAACAAATATTATTAAATACCTTGCAAGTCTAAAGCAGAAATGCTCTCTTTGCCTTCAGTGACACATGAAATTCTAAATATTTTATATTTTATGTCCATTTGTTTATTCAATAAACACGTTAGAAATCCCTCAATTTCCTTTCTATAGATTTAAACCAACATCTTATCAGATGCAATTTTTATTAAACCAAAATCAAATATAGTTGAGTTAATCCTGTAATTTCAGCATTTTCTATTCATTGCTACATCTTTAAACGAACCTCCAGCACCTTTTTCTCTCTTCTGTGTGAAAAAATTACCTAAATCAACCATAACCGCGTCAGAGTTCAACATCTAGAAGGAAAGCTTTGATTGGTGCATCTCCTGTCTTCTAGTCAATTGTTTTGTTTTGTTGTTTAAGATGTTTCAGCGTTACATCTGTGGTTATCCATGAGGTCAAACTGTAGATTGTTGTGGAAAATTTTTGATGGTGGTGGCGTGAACATTTGGGATTAAGATAATGGAAGCTGGGATGGTCAAAACACTGAAGCTTAGCCTATGTTTTAGTTTTAGAAATATGTTGAAGAAACGTACGGGTTTCTTTTTTCAGATTAGTCACACTATTTCATCACAATGTTTATATGTTTTGAGGCAATCTACAGATTTTAAGTTGAGTTATATTCAAACATGTAGATGTTTTCCTCCTGTTAATTCCCATTGTGTCTATTTGGAGATGTTTCTCATCTAATAACCATCTGGATCATCCAACCTCGCATACTGATAGAGATTATGAATAAAATGTTGCTTTATTTTACTTCTTCTACGAGTTTTTGGCCTCTTAAGAGATTGTGAGAAGTTGCTGGTTCCTGCATTTCCCCACTATGCACTGTATAATTCGGAGCATCAGTTTTTCTTGATTAGATTATTGTCTGAAGTCAAACTTGCACCAATAGATCAGCCTGAGATTGGAAACAGCCTGATATTTTCCTTATCATTAAGCATTAAAAGGTTTTGATTTCCTGTTGTTTTTGTTCTTGATAATTTTCAACCATTTGCAAATTTTTTCAGTTTTATTTGTTAAAGTACTTTATTTTCAAGTGATGATGTCTGAGTCATCAAGGCGTTTTTTAATTTATGCTCAATAAGCCAGACTTCAGAGCGTTCCGCGACAATGCAAGTCCTCTCTCCGCTCTTTAAAAGTGGTCCCGAGTTGCACAGAATACCTGGGGAGATAGCTATTTATAGCCTCTGTTCTTTAAGCCACCCTCCCAGTTGCACCAGGGTTCAAGAGAATGCGTGTCGGGTGTCATCCGTGGGGTGTCCGAGCTTAAAATTCTTTTGATCCGATCTTCACAATATTCCTTAAAAGAAACAATCAATGCTTTAAAGGGATGCCAGCGCAGTGAGATGCCACTCCACACGTTTTGTGGCCACTGTGTGACACAGTGGTGGTGGCATCATGCTGCGGAGAAACTTTTTATTTCAGTTTGAAGGAAACTTGTCAGAGTTGGAGGTGATAAGTAATAAAAAGTATTGCCTGAATTGAACATGCAACATTTTTTCTTAAAGAACATACTCAAAATCATATATCTACCAAAAATTGATATTTAAATCAAATCAATAAAAAAAAAATTCCTTTCTTTTAGGACTTAATGTTAGATGACTCCCTTTTTTTACCCCTCTATCCCTGGTTCTGCCCTTTTCCCCTGTCTGCCTTCCTAACCTCAATCTGTTTGCTGCGTCTCTCATGCTCCTTGTGTTCCTTGTGGTTGATGACATGAGGCTGCATTAGGAGAAGTGATCGTGTTTGTAGTGACACTGATGGCTCCTCCTGTCTGTGAAGCTTCAGCCTGTGTGTAGTTTAAAAGATCCCTCCGCATTGAGTCTTCTGAGCTCCAAAAGCTTAGATTTCCCTCTCCAACAGAAGTTTTTGTGCCATGCAGGCAAAGAGCAATGGTACATTTGACAACAGAATGCGATTCAAAAGCGAATAGCATCGACGCTCCTGCCCCCCCTTTTCCTGTTTCACAGTTGGTTGCATTGTCTTTGATTTTTATTTTTCAAAGCTTTTTTTTTTTTTTTTAAGTTGAAAGACTTTTTGGAAATACTCCTAAAGATTTTTAAACACATGGCAGGTTGGTGTTTTGCTTTTTCTCTGCAGGTCATTTTCACAAAGCTCTTGTCTGGAAACTGAAAGCACCTTTCAAATTCAGACTCCTCTCCCTCCAGTCCCGCTGCATTGCATTTTGCTTTCCCACCGACTGGCCTCCTGTGCATGCTGTGTGACGTATACCCCCCTCTCCCACCATGCTCTACCCCCTCTGTGGTCCCAAGAGGCCAAGGACCTGTTGTTGCTCTTTGAAGAGGCTGGGAGAAAAGTTTGGAGCCTCTCTCTAAAGAGAAGAAAAGCCCAGCTTTGGGAGGAGGGGGTAGCACCTGGTCATAGGGGCTACAGCGTTGTATGTCACATAGTTTACTGAGAGCTGAGGGAGTTTCTGTTGTGTGATGAAGCAGAGCCGATTACCATGAATGGTGCAATCTGGAAAGAGATCCTGTGAAACAATATTAGTTTAGTGAAAAAAAAAAGCTTTGGTGGTGTATAGTTATTGAGGCTATTCTTGCTTCTCTAAAACTTACAGAATTTCTGTATGTTTTGCACACATTTGCATACATATAGAGAATAATTGGCTGGACTACAAGGAATGTTAGCTAGACATTTAAGAATCTGGTTGGA